CCGCGTCAAACCTACTTGTAGGTGGTGACTGTCCCTTTGCCAAGCTCCTAGAACTATGAGTGAAAGTCTTGGGTCTTTCGGATGAGACCTTAAAAACCGAGGTCTCATGTCACTCTAAAGAACACTCACTGCTCAATGGGCCTGGGTGCCAAGTATTTAAAGCCTTCCAATGAAATATATATAGTAATGCCTCTATTTGAGAGAAAAATATTCGAATTGGACGCAAAACAACATATAAAATAAATCAATCAAACTTTGTTTTTAATTATTGCCCACCCAGGTAATTGAAAAATTACGAGACAGTATAGATCTAGTGGGAATCATTATTAACTGAAATCTTAAAAAAAAATCAGCATCTATCACATATCAGTGACTTTTCGATTAAATGAAATATAGAAATAGATAACATAAAATTATTTTGTTTTTTGACTAGATTCTTAATTCGTTCATAAAAATATCTTATAGGTTTTAAGACCACATTACGAAAAGATTACGATTAGGTTTTATTTCTGTTCGTTGTAGAAGAAAGATTTTTTTCTTTTAATCAAGTTTCTGTTTATTAATAAATGTGTTGACAAATCTAGACATGTGGTTCACTTATCGAGCATTTGTATGTATTTTCTGTATCCCTGCGCTAATATTTGCCACCCTACCGTGAGTTTTATCATATTTGCTCAATATCATTCTGTTCCGATCCCATTAGGCCATTGAAAAGACTGCGATACCTAATGGAAATCTGTTAGCATGGAGACATTAGCATAGCATGCTGGAATCATTTCTATGCCCATTCTTAGCTATCGACCTGGAGAGAATCCACCAAATGTATTTTATCCTCAGATTTATTAAAATCGCGTAGTCCCACGAAAAGTCGTTAATAACAAACCGACGGTAGAAATCAACGATTTCTATAAAGCATTTACAGGGCTCTAAACCACAGACTATATCTGGTAAATATTGATCTCACTTGGGAAATATACGGTTTTCAAGAACGAAATACACTGTACATTTAATACATTTTAAAACGTTTTAGTAACAATGGGACTTACCGATGCATTTTGCTCAAGCTCCTTGTATGAAGACTTAGATAGAAAAAAAATTCTTAAAGGAATTCTCTACATATACTTCGAGAGAAAACATCATTTTTGAGCTCTTGAGACCATATTTTAAGGAAATAATAATTGTCAATAAGAACATTAAAAATATCATTTACGCGATTTATTACCATACATTTACAAAAAGATATCATAAAACGTTTAGATAATATCTTACGGAAGGTACCATACAGGACAAAATCATCTAAAGAAATGTCTTAGAATTAGAAGCAGTTGCATTAATTGCATTATCAAAAATGTTTCTACTTAATTTCCTTAATAAAGATCAATCTTTTACGAGTATATACTCCCGGACTATAGAAAAGACAATCTACAAATCTACCCCGCATACTTTTATTTTGATCATAATTCTTGGAATCAGGCAGCTGTAAATATCTGATATACATGTATTTACAAATCTATCAATAGCTTGGACTTTCAGTGGGCGCTGGCCTGCGTATATTTTACTGAGTTTAGTTGGTGCAAACATTGTTTCATGCGATTACGCAGCAAAGCATGAAAGACCACATTGTTGGTAGAAATATTCTTTTTTTTAAACCGATGCGTTTAACACTGCATGTAATGTTCTCTGCACTTTTGATGACGTAACTTTTTTTCTCTCTGCGTCCAAAACGGCTGTACGGCAGTCATAAATTTCTAAATGAACAATGTTTTGTGATAAAAATCAGAATGAAAACATCGTTTGTGGAAACGGTGATAATAAAATAAAACATTTGCAATACTTTTCTTGAGAACTTGAGATGCTTTGTCTCTCTGTGGCAAATCTCTAATTCCAAACACTTATCTAACAATTGATAAGACATAAAAGAAATGGAAGTCTGACTTACTTTCCCTATTTTATGACAAAGAAAAAGAGTTGTGTATTTAAATTGTCGGAGGAACTGTCTTCAAAATGACAACATATATTTAAGTCTTTACTTGCATTCTTAGACATCAGCATATTTTCGAGGCCTTGTGGGAGACATTTTTATGAATTTTATTGACGGCAGAATTTGATGTTCATGTTACTTAAGAAAACTGGGGGAGTTTTGACTTATTTTTTAAGTATTAACTAAGATATTCTGTGCAGTATAATTTACTGCAATAACTGAAGTACAGACATTCTAGAAACAATATATCTGCAGCTTTATTATTCAGCCCCCTAAATGCTTCAAGGCGAGAGACACAACTTCGTTTAAAATTCAAAATTATGTAAATGCATTAATGAATCAAAATTGTAAAATTGAGAAATTCACTTTGATATTCTGTCGGAATATAGACGAATTACAATCGACGCAATGAATAATTTTTTAATAATTTGAAGACCGTTATCGATTTTGATAGAGTTTAGACAAATTATCTGAAAAGTTAGGATTTTGGAGGATTGTCATGTTCTAAATTTTGTATTTACTCCCACCCGGTAAATTCAAAATTTAGAACATGACAGGATGCCACGGAGTTTGTAAAAAAAAAAATCACATTTTAATGTGTTTGTAATAATAGTATTAGGCTATTATCACAGTACATCATGATATCATGACTTATTAATCATGAACTGATAGATCAATGAATCTGCAAAGACTAATTAGGCTCTGAAACTATCTTTCATTTTGTTTCAATAGATTGAGCCGATTTCAATTCAAAAATATTGCTAAAATATTAATATCTATGGAGTACGACATTGTATTTCTGGTTTAAATCTTCCCCTGTGAATAAGTCCAACAGATGACGTACGAAATTGCATTTTTTTTATTCATCATCAGGAAAGCATATCCTTCAAGGAAATATATTAATCCAAAAGTCAATTGTATTAACATATAGATATCGAACGTAGATAATGATGTACACGTAAAGAAAATACTATCGTTGTCTATTATAGATCAAATTATCTGACAAAATGTCTACAGACGTGTCGTAAACAATATTTATGAAAAAAGATACATTTCCTATGTACACTAAGATTGCCTACAAATAAGACTTATTTTGTACATTGATCACTGCATTGAAGGTACTATTATTTCACTAGTACATGACAAAGTTCCAAAACCTCTTAAATTTAAGTAATCTGTAAGTTTTTTCAGCAAGAACAGAAAATATTAAATTATATTGAAATTACAAGAATGTAATGAATCTTAGCTCACATGAGCCAAAGGTTTACTTTATACATAAAATAATCCTGTATATAAACCAATTTATTGACTTAATATGTCTTATTTGAATCATATCTATATAAGGTAGAGACCTAGTACTTTAATTTCCTAAAAATTCTTCCTCCTAAGAGTCCAAGTATTGGAAAACGGGATTTGTGAAATTGCAATGTTCTTGAATTTTGTAGAAAAACATTGCTGATTATGTATTAACTGACAGTGTAAATTCAAATTTGTTAAAATCATGGCACTCGGGGATATGGTGGACCACAATAGAAGATCAAAGCTTTACATGGGAATATGTTGGGAAAAAATGTTTATAAATCTTCTCTTTAATAGCAGGACCACTATTAGTGATATTAATATGCAAACATTCCTTGAAAAAAAAGGTCGCAAGAATTCAAGTTTGTTCAAATCATGACACCTGTGGGTGGGCTGCGGACAATAGCGGATCAGATTTTCACAAACAAATATACATGTATAGGAAAAAAAATGTTTACAAATCTTCTCTAGAACAACAAGACCATAATTATTAGTTGTATTAATACGCAAGCATTCTCAGGTGGTGTAATTCAAGTCTGTTCAAAACATGGCCCCCGAGGATATCAAAATTTTTGCACTGGAATTAAAGGGAAAAAATCTTTCAAAAAAACTTTTTGGAAAGAACAGCAGGGCTTTGACTAGTCATATTACTACACAAGGATTCCCAAGTTGTGGAGATTTAAGCTTGTTCAAAGCATGACCTCTGCGGATATGGTGGCACCGTAATAGAAGTAAAAAATTAACATGGGGATTTTACAAAATCGCCCTTACACGAACGATAGAGTCATGATTTAGTATAAATATCAGTATGTAATCATCGTTAGTCAGGTCATGTAGATTCAAGTATTTGAGCCCTGGGCGTAGGGTGGTGCCACAACTGAGAATCAAAGAAAAAAAATCTGTTAAAATATCTTGTAAAGAATAATACGATCATGATAATCATATAGATGTGCAAGCATCCTCAGGTAGTTAAGATTCAAGTCTGTTCAAATCATTGACCCTTGGGGTAGGTTGGGACCAGTGTTCTGAAGAACAGTAGGACATAGTTGACTCAGGTGAGCGTTGTGGCCCATAGACCTTTTGTTTTTACTTCGTAATTATAAGTTCATATCCAAGATTTGCAGTTAAAGGAGACAGCATATAGGGAGCATACATGACTAAATATCCTTACCAGGACTGTAGAGCTCGGCATATGTCAGCTGTGAACTGCAACTGAGAGATTGATTAAACTTCTTCGGCCTGTAATTAACATATTTGTGGAGACTCGTCGCTGACTCTCTTATTTCACATCTGAGAGAGTTTGTGACACGTGCCTTCCAAAATGAGACTTTCCAGTTGGCCTGATCGTCCCAGAGTGCGACCCGCGACAGAGAGCCCTCACAGCTCCATTTCCAGTCCTACATCGATCGTTTGGGGGTTCAGAAAAAGATGCTATAAATCAAACGCTGGTTATGAATATCATTATAAGCGCTCTATCTTTGTAGTCGTTGTGTTTTCGGTATAGTGCATTGCTATTTTGGCCGAAGTCTTCCATGCAATCATTCTCTGTCTCGGAGATTGCGAATTTGTAGATTCTTCCGTTGGGACGCCTTCTTCATTTATCAGTATGTATGACTTGACGTTAAGTGTCGAAATGTGGAGAGAGAACAAGAAAAAGAAATGTTTTATTACACGCCGATTTTTTCCGTGGTGTTGTTAAGTCGTATTTCTTGGGTTTCGGTCGCAAAACATAACATGGTATTTCGTGATCCCCCTCTGTGTTTAGATAATGGAAGTAGTTAATACTTCTTTATATTCATAACTCTCAATCTGAGATGAACGGTGTGGGGAAGTTCAACATTATTATTTATATATAAGAGGAGACTAGTGTTGTTTTTTTTATGGCGCATGTGATTATTTAAGCGCCATTCGGCAATGGAAATTAATTTTGTTTGGAATAGAGATACATCAAGATGTATTTTATATTTTCAAACATCATTGGCTGTCGGTATATTTTGTTTACTTCCTCATATCGAAAGAATTGGTCTTCGTTTCCTTTACCATTCTGGAATTAGATTTTAGCAGAAGAGCATTGATGGAAAAAGACACTACTTCAACATTTCGTAGAGATTTCTTGCTGAATTTGGGCACTTAATAAAATAGAGTGAACAAATTGCTGGGTAGTGTTAAGTGTCTGCGAGCGTTAAACGACCTCTTTCATCAATACCTGTTTTGATCAGTGACGATCAGTTAAACAATATACCGCCATAACATGACAGCGTTTCAGTGACAGATTAAACCAACACTACTTGCGTGCCATGCTATTTGTACAGGGTGCCTATGCTGGCACCTGGATTAATGGACCCTTCTCTCTACCTGTCCCCAGTTTGTTTGGTTTAATACACACATTCATAACTTTCTAATGGAAGATTTCTCAATCATCGATAATGTAATCATGCAAACCCTTTGAAAAAATTGAAGCATGGATGTTATGGACTCTGTTCTATTGATAGCGGGATTTGTAATCCTGATAACCCATGATTCCTGTCTATCGGAAGTTTATGTGAAAGAAGCTGGACAACGAATTGTGGAAATCAAACAGGGTCAAGTAAGGGGTCGTGTTATTGGCTATCCCAAAGATCCCACGTTCAAGGAAGTAGAGGAGTTCGCAGGAATAAGGTATGCTTCATTGAGAGGAGGTAGGACAAGATTTATGCCACCAGCCTCAGTGGTGAGAAAGTGGCAATATGTACATGACGCATCACATGTCAGTGAGGTATGTCCACAAAGCAGACGACCACCCTCCCCTCGATACCCAGAGGGCCACAGAGAACAAATTCGTCGCAGGATGTTCCATACCAACTACAGTCAAGAGGACTGTCTGACCCTCAATCTATATGCTCCAATTCAAGGTAGAGTCATGTATAATTTTTTCCTCTATTAACTTTACTTGTGATATTCAACATCTTGCAAGATAATGAAAAAAAGACTGCACTCAATGAATCGATCTTGAAACTTTCATCGCCTTTGACATTTTAAAAAGAGAAATGCTACAAAAAATCGTTAGAAAATCATGTGCTATTGCACTTCATCCTGGAAATCAGTTAAAATTATGACGATCGTCTTTAAAACGTGCAAAATTAATGATGAAATGAAGTAACCAGTTATTGATTATGACGGTCTCTTGTCGATTTAATTAGTGTAGTTTTGTCTTTAATCGACTTCATAAGGCAATTACTTAAGAATGAAATAACTTTCGCGATCAACTATCAGCACGGTCTTGTGGCACCAAAGATTAATATCTTGACAGCGATTCTCTAAGGTCATTAGAATGGAAGTTATTTCTGACTCCCAAAACCATCATAAATTTTTTACTACATACCTGGTAATCCTTTCCAATAAGGTGTAATTACTTATGATCAGAACTTAAGAATTATACAGTACATATGTTTTAAGCATCCAGTTTTCGGACAAGATAAATATATTACGAATGATGTTTACAATATGTTCATCTGATTGTAAGTTGACACCAATAAAAGAGAATTGATGTAGTTAGCATACACATTTAGGTGAAACTGACTTGTACATCTGTATTCGTCTTGTAAATTTATTGTTGTTACAAGGATTTCTCAATACCCGAAAAGAAATCCTTAAATTGAATATTAATTGGAACACGTTTTCTTCTTACCAACGCGTTTGCAGAAAAATAAATAATGATTTAATATAGTGAAATATATAGAAGAAAGAAAATTTTCAGATAATGGATAACTCGAAGTAAAGAATAAAGTTAATCTCTCTTCCGACACTTTTAAGCTATGACAGAACTTTTGAAGATTTGTACCTGAACTAAAACCTATAATTAAACGATAGTTTTACAACCCAATTACCAAATAGTTTATTTCGTGAGATTGGTGAAAATGACCAAAATCTATTACGAACACCAAATTCTAAAATCAGATTTAAAAGATATTAGTTGAAACAAGCTTTAAGTGGCAACTTCAAGGTTGTTAGGTATAAATTCCAAAATCATTAACCCGTTAATGCAGTATAATGATATCATAAAGGTTTAGAATTTAAAAAAAAGGTTCTGATTTTAAAAGTGATAGAAGGAAGATTACGCGTTTCAAGTACTATGATATTTTTTTCTTTCAGACATATAAACCCTCATTTGTACACGTATTTTGTAGTCGTTGAATATGAATAAAAATTACAATTTACATAAGATTGCGTTGCTTAGAGGACATGTATGCCTAATACAATATAATACATAATACAGTGTTAATACTAAAATGCTATCACTAATAGCAAAGAAAAAAGTGATAATAATAATAGTACACTTTAGACAACGGCGATATAAAATACCCTGAATATTAAATTTTATTGATGACAATTTTCATTAAATTCTCCATCAAATAAACCTCTCTAAATCAATAACGATATATCATCCTTGACTTTATCTCGAGTCGTTTAACTTACTGTAGCATTTTTACTGTTTGTAAAAAGGAGCCTAATGACAACCCGTTCAATAAATTGGTATTTGCTAGACCCATTGTCTTCAGTAAGAGTCGTCAATTGAATGAGACCGGGCCTCAATCAGATCTATATCGTTATATTTCCTATTATGATCTTGATAACAGTTATAAATACCCTAGCTCAGCATGGACCGCTCAGATAGCGGTAGTAAACATTACCCCTGTATTGGATTAGGACTGTAGTCAGAAAATCAACTCTGTACTGTATATTTCACTGTTATTGTTATTAATTATGTCAGTATTCTAAGATTTTGATGACTTTTTTGAGTAGCGGCAATTTTTGTTTTAGTTTTTTTTTTAATTTATTTTTATAAATTTATTTTTGGCTTTTATATGTGCATGTAGCTCCATACTGGTCAAAGACCAGAAGAGTACATTCGAAAGTAAGTGCCCGTCGTCCATCCGTCTGTCTGTGTGAACAATTTCTCAAAGTGTTACTCCTCCTACAGTTTTGGGACAGTTTAATATAACTTGGGACACAATTAGACAACACAAAGATGCATTATTCTGAGTTTCGGTTTTTTATTGCCATGATTACTAAAAATAGAAACTTCTGTGATTTTGTTTTAAAACGCTATTCCTTCTACAGTTTTATTCCGATTTCTATTAAACGAGACCGAGTCTAATTCCAGTGCGCTTGACTTTGCGCAGCTTTTTAGTTTCATGCAGTCGTATCTGCAACATAATACCTATCCAAGTATTGTAATTGTAATACAAAATTAACATTATCTGTAACGTTTATGGGTCTTAAAATGTGCGTTTAAGACAATATTTAGGAATAAATGCTGAAATGGCTTTCACGACGTCACTGTTTTCCGGTTCTGTAAGCTATGCACATGACGCCGAAGAATGACGCTTGACTCGCTTGAGTATTTAAGACGTCCATGGATATTTTATTAAACACTGTTGACAGAACATCAAAAGAAACATACCAACAATCTGAACATTGTTATTTTTTTACCAAAATAATTCATCTCCGCCGATATATACATAATGTATGCCGCAATATGGCAAATTTAGAGGCATTGGGAAAAATTAACTTTGTAATAATTCATAGACCAAACTAGATGGTCACCTTTTTTTGAAATTTCACAATTTGATGATTTTTTACAAAAAATTTCATGTGTTTGACTGAAAACGAAATCCCTAGGGCAGAAATACAAAAAAATATTAAATTTGATAATTTAGCGCTTTTCAAACAAATTCCCATAGGGTCCAATAGTAATATTTGACAACTTTTTAGATGGCCCTCTTAGAAATCGGGATGGTAAACATTTGATTTTTTTATCTTAAAATAATTAATATAATAGTAAAAATTCATTCAAGAAAATTTATCCAAATATCTAGGGTAGAAATAATTAGACTCGGCCTCGTTAACTGGGTACACAAGGTAGACAACACGAAGATACATAATTCTGTATATCGGTATTAGATTTTAATGAGCGGTGTTGCTATGGTTACTTGAAATAAAAATTTCTTGAAATATTTTCCTATACTGTCCCTACAGTTTGATCTGATTTCATTGAAACTTTCTACACAAGTAGACGTTTTGGTCTGATTTCACTAAAACAAGTACATATAGGCTTCATAAAGATGCACAATGCTGTTTATCGTTTTTGTTGTTGTTGTTGTTTTTGGTTTTAACAAACGGTGTTGCAGTGGTTACTAAAAAAGAGAAATCTGTGAAATTCTTTCAAAAGGCTACTCCTACTATATTTTTGTCCAATTATAATTAAACTTGCCTTAAATAGAGACAAAGGAGACTATAACAAGTATCATTTTTATGCATTGCTGATGCCATAGTTTGAAGTCCAAGTGGTACTTTCTTCTAGCTTTATTAAGTAAAAACCAGTAGAGTTACAGTCTAGCTCGTCAGAGACTTATTTCTAATACTGACCATATAAAAAGGATGGAAGTTTAAACGTCACATTTTGAAAAAAAAAAATATAATTTGATATTCAATTTAAAATACATGTTAATGAACAAACTTAACAGATAATTGCTGATAAATGACGGTTCACTACTTATTAAACCTTGATTGCTTATGAAGCTCAAAGTATGTCTCAACTAATTTGTGATTTATGAAACAAATTGGGATGCTATAGAGTTTCTTTCATTTTTATTTTTTGAATTATTTTGCATGATTTATTTCTATATGATTGCAATAATAGTACCGATATTTCTTAGAATGCAACACTTTGTGAGAGGCAACAATTTCCCAATCTAGTTTTTTTTTATGAGTGCACACTCGCGCTCTGACCTGTCTGTCATCAGGCAGTGTGTAAACAAGAACCTGATATTTCTCTGTGAAGTGCTCGCTTTGCCTGCATGTGGTGGTCAAGAGTAAGCTAGGGCTTGGAATGACCATAGCTCTATCACACTTAACATCTTTCACTTGATGTTTTCCTGGTGTAATAAGGCACTGTGTATCGTTGATGTCTAATTGTCCATGACTCGCATCAGGACGAAAACGAGACCTAAGATCGTCGGCCGTTCGATGCCACGCGAGGGAAACATAAGAAAAAACATAAAAACGAAGAGTTTCGCCAGCAAGGGTTTTATTACCAGAGAAATGAACTTTGTACCAAAGAAAGTCATGTATTTTACTATAAAATGCTACCTTAAGAAAAAAATCTATTTTAATTGAGTGTTATGCAGCAGTTGCCCTCGATGACTTGGTGAAATTTTAAAACCTCTAGGTCTTAATGAAATAGAATAGACAAACAATTAATAAATTTATAGACATATAAATTATGATACATTGTAAGTCTTTTCTATCACACTTAAGGCCGATATATGTTTTGAATGAACCTTGTGAATTATTTTTCTTTAATACTAACAATCACCGTATATTATTTAGAATATTTCATATGCAGAACTTCTCATCTGCAGAGTATCTTCACCAGGAAAGCAGAATTCTTTACGGCCATTATTGTCTAGAGTTTCAAAAGGAGGGCTTAAGATATCGTAAACTTTATGTTAAAATGACTATCCATCTTAAGTACATGTACTTGTATATTAATCTCACCAAAGCTTTTTGTGGTTCGATCGTTATATCTTTTTTAACCACCCACCAAATTAGAAATCTTTTACGTATGTCTTTGAGCAATGACTGATTCAGTATCACAGTAATTCTAGAGGTTTGAGAATATAATACAAAATGTTTTGAAGGAGAGTGGATAAGCGAACGAACGATTTTTTTGTCTCTTTAATAAACATTATCCCTTTCGATGAGCCTTTTTAATGTTATCTGATTATTGTCTAAAAACTGCATGTATTTTTATATTTTGAATCCTGGCATTTTTAGTGTCAGGGTATTCTTTCTTATATTGCTTTCTTAGGAAAGAAACTAGTTTCATCGTATGTACATTTTTCTGCGT